ATACTTGGCTGAATTTGCTTGTAGATGCTTTTTCTTTTCTCTCAATTTTTGTTCTCCCTTACGTTTATTCTCCATTTTTGCTCTTTTTGTTTTTATTATTTGTTTTCTTCTTACTTCTTCTTCAGCAAACTTTTCTTCTTCTTCGGTCTTTAGTGATTGGTAAACAATGAATTGGTGCATTATCGCCATCTGCTGGTATTGAGCGCAACTTACACAACTTWTTTTCCCCTCGCTGCCTGCGCCGGCCCAGTGATGCACCACCCCACCGGGAAAAGTCCTGGTACTTCCAATGGCCAGTCTGCCCCTGTTCTCAGTTAGGCCACAGAGGCAACAGGTCTAGGAAAGAAATCCACACTTCCCTCTCCCCAGTTATGTTTTTCAACTCATCCTGGGGGAGCCCGAGGCTTTCCAAGGCCAGAGAAGACACATGATCCCTTCATCAAGTCCTGAGTCTTCCCTGGGCCCTCCTACCTGTAGGATGTGCCCAGAACATCTCTAAAGGGAGGCGTACAGAAGGCATCCTACTCCTCATTTTGGCAGCTTCTCTCCGCTTGTATCCCCTCTACAGAATTGCTACCTTAAYGTGGTGAAGAGGTTGAAGTACCCCATGATCCTGGGGGCTATGTTGTCTGGGKMTTTACCTCCTGRTAGGGTCTCTCATGGCAAACAGGCATTTGTGGAGGAGTCAGACTAAGAYGGATTCAAAATGGAACAGCAACCACATCAGGAAACCTTGATGAGAAAAAGGATATGGATCAGGCCTGGGGGTGGGGTGGTTGTAGCTTGCAGATGAGTGCCTGGTGGTCAAGCCTTGGCTCCTGGGGCTCAGCTGTGCCAAGCCAGAAACGACAACAGAAGGCCACCTTCATGTGGACCCACCCCCTGTGAGAGAACCGTCAAAGTCTGGTGCATTGCTTGCTGAACAGCAGGCGAGGGTCCCTGGCCATGCCAATTCTTGGCAGCAAAAACTAGCTCTAGAAATGTGGAACATATAATGTATCACTAGGGTACAATATGAACCAGAAAAGTTTTAGGTTGTTTTTCTATGGACATGGTTATATTATGTGCCTTTAATTCTTGTCACCATTTGTTTAAATATTTTCAGTTATGAATTCAAAGTGACGCCAAAGAACGAACTGGGAACCGGACCCTCCAGCGAGCCAGTTACTTTTAGCACAGAATCAGGCAAGTTTTCAAAACCAATGAACTACTGATGAACCAGCTTGTTGCATATTTGCAATTTAAGTTATTGTTTTTATAGTGAATAATTGATTTGGTTCTTTAAAAGGTTGCCTAACATAATAAAAAAAGAACCTTGACTAAAACACTGTGGCTCTGSAGCATTTTAGTCTGGATGATGTTAATTATTTTATTTCTTTCCCTCTGGGTTTTAGCGGATCCACGTGTGAGCGAACACGCTTCAGGTGAATCTTTTGTTCCTGCCATCACAGCACTTCCCTTCACCACTTATAGCAGATTTAAAGATTTTGTTTTCTCACAGGTAAAAATGCCATCTGGACTCAGTTTCCATTTAAAGCCGATGCCTACTCYGAATGCAACGGGAAGCAGTACATAAAGAGGACTTGGTACCGAAAGTTTGTGGGCATCCAGCTCTGCAACTCCTTGAGATACAAGATCTACCTGAGTGACTCGCTCAATGGTATTAACACACAGAAATGACTGAACAAAACATAATAGCGTGTGGAACCCCCATAAATGTGAGAAAATGTAATATTTGTAGCAATCTGCAATAATTATAAACTCTTTCAGGGAAATTTTACAACATTGGAGATCAGACGGGGTACGGTGAGGACCACTGYCAGTTTGTAGACTCCTTCCTGGATGGTCTGACTGGAACCAGGATGATGTCAGACCAGTTACAGAGCAGACAAGGTATTTTCTCACCAACAACTGATTATTTAAAGCCTTTCTTTGTTGTTGTTACAGGATCTCATTCTTTCTGTGTTTCTGTGTGTGTCAGGGTTTTTCAGAGCATTGAGACACGAACCTGTACACTTCGGAGACATTGGCGGAAAGTCTCATGTGACGTATGTGGGCTGGTATGAGTGTGGCACGCCCATACCTGGTAAGTGGTGAGATCCCAAAAGGAAGACTTTCTCTGATGAGGAAGAAGAGGAAGTGGCTTAAGGCCTACAAGGACTTGAGTCTATCTTTTCAGTAGATGGCATTGTCTAATTTCCTAGACTCTTCAGATGTGAACATTGGATGGAGTGTTARTTGTCACACAATCCTTGTTAATGTTTGCAACAATGCAAATGTTTTGTATTTATCAACAATGTTACAACAGACAAAAGAGGATGGGAYCTGGATAAACCAAAACAATGAACTTACATTAATTATAGAAATAATATTGGGAAGCTGGCTCCCAAACTGTAATAACTTGTATGATAATATTTATCAAAGAATTATAAATATTCTGTGTGTAGACAGACATTTGAGATAGGAAATTACAGAAATGTCTCCAGTATTTGTCTGTCAGTGAACACACACACTGGTGAAGACCATATAGACACAAAGAACTGAACTGCAGGAGTGTATTAGCAGTTACAGTTTGCACAGTATGAAACTTCTGTTTATATATGTATATGATGTAAAATAGGATGTATTATTACAGGGAGAAAAATAAAATAAAATGAATCTGGACTGACTGCAGCAAGTCAACAGTTTAACCAAATTTTGAGATTTATGACTAATAAAACCCATACAGAAATAAACATATCTTAGTTATATAAAGCATTTTAAAAATGGAACCTTCACATGCAGAATAAGTGTAAATAGAAACTTTTTGTCGTTGCAAGTTTCTCCCTAATCTCCTTCATGACTGCACTTGCTTGTACCTTGTATGTTTTAAACAATAAAGTTTGTTTTTTCTATTTACACAATCTGAGTTGTATTTATGGTAATGGACAGGTGGCACAATTTGTTAATTGTCTTTTCTTTCCTTTGACACATGGCTTTGTCTGGAGTATTTTTTAGAACTATTATTAACTTGTGAAAACAGTGACTCATTTTACATGCTAAAAATCTGTTTTAAATCCAACGKACATCATACCATTACACTTAAGTGAAAATTAGGGATTAACCTCCATCCATRCAGTTTACCTATTCTTCTGTGAAGCTGAGTACTGAGAGCCAGGGATGCAGTAGGTTTGATGCACCATTTATAGGCCACAATACAGTGGCGGGCCTGCATTTTACACCCGGAGGGGTGGGGGTGGGGTTTGAATKTGGAGCGGACCTGCCGGCCGCGGATATATGAAGAAAGGGTCATGCCCTCTATGATCCCAGCTCAACCTCTGAATAGGGTTGGGCATAATCGTATCGTGAGCAATTAATAATCAGAAAAGCTTTAATCAATTATTTTTTGGAACTTGACGATTAATACGATTAATGCCACCAGACAGACTGACTGGATATTTCCCCGGTCAGTCCACTCAATGCTCCTCTCTGCTTCAAATATGATGAACATTTGAACAAAAGTTCTGTAATTTATTTATCAACACAATTTAAAATTTGAAGTATAGCCTGAAGTCTGTTATTCTGACACAATTTGGAACAGATTTTTCTGAAGAGCAAATCTTTCCCACTAAATTGGTCATGTGACTAGGAAATAATAAGGGTGTCCAGGGACTCCAGGGGATTAGTYGTCAAATTAATCGTTATCGGCTAAATACCACAATTAATCGTAATAATTTTTTTTTTGCCAATATCGCCCAACCCTTCCTCTGACTGATCAAAGCAACACTTTCTGTAACCTGCAGGTGTCCACTGTTCCTTCTGAAGGCCTTGATGCAGATTTCTTTCACCCTAACAATAGAAAAGGTTCGAAATACGATCGAATAAAAGCTCTAAATAAATACAAGCTCCTGGAAGCTSTGCAGCCAGGAGAAAGGCTATGRAACAAAGAAAACAGATATTTCAATATTAAATAAATAATACTAAAATGTAAGCTAGTGATTCTGGTTGTGTTTAAGGCAGCAGAGAAGGCTTTGCTGGCTCACCACTGCTGCAATCAAACTTTTCATCATAAAAAAGTTAAATGCATGAWGCCACTGTCATTAAATAGCTCCTTTGTACTGGCAATAAATTTGGTTGGGCTATTTTTAATCAGGTGGTTGAAGGTTTTGGCATTAAACATTGGTAKAATAAGGAAGAATAAAATCAAGTCCAAAGAAGAACAAGAGGTTTCTAGAAAGAAACTAGATTTTCTACAGAGGTCCACCTGCAGCTTATTTAACAGTTCATGTCTTTTTCCTTTATAGCACAAGCTGCCTCTTAAACTGGTGATTTATAGATGAACTTCTATCTTTTAATGTGTGCAACAAAAGATGGGTGTATTTTTCCCCAGCATACTTTATTTGTACAAATACATCTATCCAAAAGGATATATTTTCAGAAAATTTTGAAACCAGATGTTCTGAATTTTTTTTTTTTTTTTGTTGCTGTAAACATATTACAATATTTTTGTAGTATTTTTTAAACAATGTTATTTATATGGATGTCTGTAGCGTAAAGTGCTTTGGAGTCAGACAGGACTTGATAAAGCACTTAAAGTTCAGTCCATTTACCTTTTTTCCCTTTATGAACAGATTTTATTGGTTTTTTAAAAAATAAATAAAAATACAAAATGTGTATTATCATTTCACTAAGCTAACATGACCTACACCAACTGGTTTWAGCTCAATAACTCAATTAAAATAAATATTTAAGGCATCAATAAATGACATTAGCAACAGTTTCCCCAYGGTGTCATAGGTGGGCAAAGAATCACTTTCTTTTCCAGCATGCTCCAGCACAGTTATACCAAGTGAATAAATCTCTCAGGAACAACTAATAAAGACTTTTCACAGTARAGAAACATCTACTTAGCACTATTTTACTTGTACACACTTTTCTAAATTATCATTAATGACCATGTGTGCTTAGTTTGACATCGTAGACTCACCACATACTCCCTTGCTACAAGTCCCCGCCAACCACAACCCACAGACAGAAAAATAAACCCGAAATACCAGCATTAGCACAGTTTTCCTAATCTGGGTGGGGAGAAAGGAAAAGACAAGCCCAACTTAACAGACWTGAACTCACAAACCACAAAGAGAWGAAAAAAAACCATGAGACTAACTAYAGAAAACAAAAAGCAACATTATTATTAAAATAAACACGTCACGGACTTTAACTGGGTTTCAATCATTTATTAGGTTCAAGAAAAAATGTTAACATTTACATAAACAACTAATATCACTTGAGTGGAATCTGAGTTGATATATTAGTAAAAACCAGTGAGATAAGGATTTAAAGGAACAGCAAGCTGTACTGGAGGAGATATATAAGAAACAAAACCCTTCATGACTCAGATCTAGTCTTTCACTAGTGTTCCCAACATGGGGGCAGTTTGCACTAACATGTCATTAATACCAACACGGTGTTGATCAAATAAAGAAAAAAAAAAAGGGAGGGGTGAGATAACTGTATCATGATAGTGTTTTATGACTGCATCTAAACTGTCATCTCTTAAGATTTTTGTGRCAAAATGGCTGAGCTCACTCGCAAAGTTACCTTTACAGGAAAAGGAGCGGTTTGTAGAATAGCCTGTTTTGGTTTGCCAGGTGTGCAGACAGACTGGTTACATTGTTACACTGAGGACACAGGAGGGTGGAGCAGCTGGACGGGGAATAAGACATGAAGATCCAGTCGGGTCAGAACAGAGAGGCGTAGGACAGATCAACTATCAGACAGAAGGGGGGTTGCTTGTTTTTTTTTGTTGGATTTGATATTTGTACGAGTGGGTCACATTGCAGCAGAAAGACTTTCTGCACCCACTTTAAACAGTTGGAGCCAAATATGGGTGATGATGGGGGTGGGGTTCAGGGGTGTCTGAGGACCAAAAATAACTATTTTCTTTTACCGGTATCCAGGACCTGGCTGAGTATAGCCCTGCCCATAAGGGGGACGATTGCGGGCGTAAGGATTAGCAGCTCCGGGTGGAGGAGTGCCAGGGTTACCTGGAGGCGGGGTATACCCTGGGCGGGGTTGATACCCTGAGCCGGGCTGGGAGCTCKGTGGCATGCTGTAGTTGGCAGGCTGGGAGGCCTGGGAGGTATAGTTTTGCGGAGGGAAGGCTCCTGGTGGATATTGTTGAGCTCCCTGAGGTGGATGGGGTTGCTGCTGCCCCCCCTGAAAGCCAGGAGTTGGTGCGGGACCAGTGCCAGGAGCCTGGGAGGTGGGTGGAGGGTAGTTCTGAAACTGCTGCTGCTGCTGCTGCTGCTGCTGTGGAGGGCCGGGAGGCGGGGCTCCAGGCTGAGAGCTGTATCCTGCTGAAAACAGCAAGTGGTCCTGTTAATTCATTTCGAAGATGAAAAAAAGTTTGTTTTTTTTTTAATCCTGACTAACTTTCTTACCAGGGTACTGCAAACTGTACTGCTGCTGCGGTGGGGCACCTGGTTGCTGAGGAGGGTATCCACCTGGAGCCTGGTACTGCTGATACACCTGACCTGAGAGGGCAAAAACAAAAATGATCAGTAACTAAATATTAAAACCCCAATATAACCACTTACTCTCCAGACTGATTTAAAGGGTACACCACCGCATATAGATAAATTCCAGATGCAACAGGTTTACAAACCACACACTTTTGTTGCTCAAACCAAAGATCTGATGGGAATAAACCCCATCCAGTCAAGACCAAAAATCTCAGATGGAAAGTTGTGCTTAAGTTGTTTAGTTACAATTAAAACTTGGTAAGAACACTGCTGGCCAACAATGGTCTATAAAATAAATTCAACCACATAACATAAATCACATGTCTGAACAACAGACTGAGACAAAACAGCCCTCACTTGTTCCAGAACCCTCTGCTCCCCCCCTTCCTACAGATCACTCAGTGGTTTGACTGATCAAGTTCAAACCATCCTTGCTATTTTCTACGATCAAACAGCATCAGATATAATGGCATGCAGACGAGGCATCTGTATCTTGTTCATCTGGACAGAAAAATCAGGTAAATGTTTTGATGAAAACAGCTGCAAACAAATTTATTTTGCTGCTAGAAATCCACCCTAAAGGTTTCTTTTCTGGCAAGTTACAGAAAGATTTGGCTTTCAGATACAAACAGAAAGCTGGTGCCTGAGCAGATGTGAGTGCACAATATGCGTTCAGAACCATTTTTTTAGAATCTCAATGAGTATTTGCAACTCTAAACAGTGTAGACAGAAATTCAGGTTTTTAAGGCATCAATGCATAGAATGAAACAGTTTTTGTGCCTTACAACAATAACATGATTGCCTTTTTATCTTAAAGTCCCACGCATTTTTTTCTTTTCTGCTGTAACTTAAAGACATTTCAACGAATGTCCAAGTGTGCAACAAATGTGAAAAAATCTGCCCAAAACAATCAAATTGTGTCTCTGTGTACAGATAATATTTCAACATATTCATTTTAAAACAAATTTGTTTTTGTCCTAAAGGAACTAATTGTTAATATGTTTAAAAAGGTGCCACTTAAAAGTAGAAAAAGCATAGCCTCCATTAGAGAAACACTTTGGCAACTAAATGTACTTCTTTACCAGACTAGCTTTTTTTTCAGGACATCTGTTATCTCCTTTATGATGAATCACTGCAGTTTTTATTGTGGGAGAAAGTAAGAGTGAAAATGGTTTTCTCTAAAGGTCTCATCTAAAGTCCTTCATGAAGAATCTTATGCAAGAGGATAACTGTTAAAATCTTAGGGTATGGAGTTGGCTTCATTCAAGAGTAGTCAAGTCATCAGGGGAAGATATGACCAGGGCTATTTGAAGTCGACTTCAAGAGAAATCAGAAGAGCGTTTTTTTAATGAAAACTGATATGATTTTTTTTTACTGTACATCTGCTAGCCTCTTTGTATGCCTTAAGAGGGAGTCAATAAAATGAGCTGACATTTAAAGATACATATATGACACTAAACACACATCTGCCCATCTGATAAAAAAAGACATGTTTTTCTTATTGGCACAAAGGCAAATTATTGCCAAAGGTTGAAGATCAGTCATCAGAGCACAATCTTTACCATCTGCTTACAAATCGTGTTAACAGCATTCTTTTGTTATCAAGTAATCAAAAAGGCTTAAAAGTGTGATTCTGACCATTTTCAAAAAGCCACGTTCCTTTATGTCATGTGACTTTATAAAACTTTGATCCTAAATGGGTCAGATTGGTCTTCAGATAGTCCATCATACTTACAGTCAAACCACAACAAAAGAAACTAATCCCATCTATCTCTATTCTTTATAAAATATCCTTCTGAAGCAATAAGCTAAGCTACTGCTCAGAAAAAAGTTACAAATCTCAAAGGTAAGTGTGAGCCTGCGTCTTCTTTCCATTCAGTTAAGAAATAAATTTATAAATAACCCTATACAATTCATACAGTTTGGTAAAATATTCACCTCTGAGGTTGAAGCTGTCTTAGCCTTTCTTCAATTAATAAAAAAATATACAAGTCCACATCCCCCTCTGAGCCAAATGTTTCAGTGGTTTTGTGCCTACAAAGTTGTTTCCCTCACATGCTTTGTTCATTTATTCTTATCAATGTCTTTGGCTTCATCCAAATATGTCAGCATGTAAAACAACTTGGGAGGACAAGGGAAAACGTAATGTTATGCATATAACTACTGTTCCCTGAAGGAAAGGAACGAGGTACAACATCATGTATGGGAACCACGCCCCTGCGTGTCCTGGCTGAAGCCACCTCTAATCACGCCTTTAGGCAGGTGACGTGATGACGACAGATGTCAGGCTCCGCCTGCACATATAAATATTGTCGCATCACCGTCACTCCTCAGTTCTACCCCTCTTCACCGAGCCCAGCTGTGCAGCGGGGCCACCATGTGTTGTAC